CTCTGGCAAGTGCACGCACCCTATAGCAAAAACTTCTCCAAAAAAAAAATATATATATATATACATAATAAAAATAATCTTCTTTTAGCTATTGTGATATATGTTGTAAATTACTGTTAACTAGTTACCCTATCGTACTATAGAATGCTAGAACTTATTCTTATTATCTAACTGTAACTTTTGTATTCATTACCCAATATCTCCCTATCATCCCTACTCTTCTCAGCTTTTGGTAACCACTATTCTTATTTTCTATTTCTATGAGGGCATTTTTAGTTCTTACATGAATAAGAACATGTATGATTTTTCTTTTCTGTGTCTGGCTTATTTCACTTAACATAATATCCTCCAGACTCGTCCATGTTATTTTGAATTACAGAATTTCATTCTTTAAATTAAAAAAATTTTGCCAGAGGGTATGCTCAGGACAAAGAAAGAGAAAAGTGAAAAAGCACCCCCCCACACACACCACTGGGGACTGGTCATGCTTCAATCCCTTCATTTCTCCCTCATTTTGGGATTTTGGGCACACGTGCACATGCACCTGGCTTACCCTTCAAGCTACTGGGTCTGAGACTCAAACCACGCAGTCTGTCATGCCAGTTCTCAAACAACTAGGACTGGCCCTATTTTTAATTATTTTTTCTATTGCCAGAGGGAACATGTGCTTGCCAGAGAGAGAGAGAGAGAGAGAGAGAGAGAGAGAGAGAGAAGTAACCCCTCCCATAGGGTCCAATCATATCACAATCACTTCTCTGTTTCTCCATCCCACCATGACTTTGGACATGCATACACACGTATCTGGCATGTTTTTCATGCTTTCAGGGCTGGAATTTGAACCGTGGTCAGTCATATGAGTTCTGGTTCTCTATGAGCTGTAGTTAACCACAGAATTATGGGGTTAGTTATCTAACCGTGATGAGATGTTATTTCATTGTGGCTTTTATGTGCATTTCCCTAATGATTAATGATGTTGAATATTTTTTTACATGCTTTTACCCATTTGTATGTCTTCTTTTGAGAAATGTCTATTCATATAATCTGCCCATCTTTAAATCAGTTTTTTTCCTGCTGTTTGTTTTGGTCATATGTTCTGATATTAATCCCTTGTTGGATGTACAGTTTGCAAATATTTTCTCCCATTCCGCAGGTTTTCTTTCACTCTGTTGATTGTTTCCTTTGCTGAATGAAAGAGTTTTAGTTTGATATAATCTCATTTGTCTATTTTTGTGTTTCCCATACTTTTGAGATCTTATCCAAAAACTTGAGTGTGTGTAAATGTGTACACACATGCTCACCAGAGACAGAAAGAGGGATGGGAGAAAGCACCCCTCATGAGGAATGGTCAAGTCACAGTCCCTTCTCTTCCATCTCTCCCTCCTTTCAGGATTTTTGAACATGCATCCTTATTTCTTAAACCACCAGGTCTGGACTTGAACTATGTGGTCAGCAAGATGGCATACAACTGCCTTAACCACCAGGCCATAGAGCTGGACCATCCAAAAATAATTTGCCAAGACAAATGTCCTACAGCATTCTACCCCTCTCCCCCTTTTTAAAGTTGTTTCATAGCTTTACTTCTTCCATTTAAGTTTTTAATCCATTACAAATTTTTTATATGGTGAGAGAGAAGGTCTAGTTTCACTTTGCATATAGATATCCAATTTTCTCAGCACCATTTATTGAAGAAACTGTTCTTTCCTCAATAAATGTTCTTGACATCTTTGTTGAAAATCAATGGATTGTATATAGACATATTTATTTCTGGGTTCTCTATTATGTTCCATTGGTTTATGTGTCTGTTTTTATGCCAATACCATGGTGTTTTCATTATTCTAGTTTTCTAGTCTATTTTGAAGTCAGGTAGTTCAAAGCCTCCAGCTTTATTCTTTTTGCTCAAGATTACTTTGGCTACTCATGGTATTTGGTGGCTGCATATGAATTTTATAATTTATTTCTGTGAAGAATACCATTGGTATTTTGATAGGTGTTGCATTGCATCTAGATGTTTGAGTACTATGATGTCTTTCCATCCCTTTTTTTCCCTTGTATTTCTTTTATCAGTGTTTTATACAATAGTTTTCATTTTAGACATTATTCACCTCCCTGATTAAATTTTCCTGCAGTGATTCTTTTATTTATTTTTTTAAGAGGGATTTTTTTTTGGTATAAAGTATGTTGCTGGCTGGAAAGACAGAGAGAGAGAGAGATTACTCCCTTGGGGGGGATGGCCACAACACCATCCCTTTCCTCCAATCTCCTCCCAGGATTTTGGGCATGCATGCTCACATGCCTGACATGAGTTTTAAGCCACTGGGTCTGGGACTCGAACCCTGGTCGACTATGTGGAAGTACAGTGATTCTTAACTTTGAAACTTGACTTCAATTAGACTTACTTGAAAGCTTTCAAAAATTACAGGCCATGGGAACCAGCAGTTAGCGTAAAGGCTATGTCGCTGGACTCCCACGTAGTCGACCGCGGTTCGCGTCCCGGACCTGGTGACTTAAAGCTCACGCCGGGCGCGTGTGCGTGCGTCCCCAAGATCCCGAGAGGAGAGTGGAGGAAAAGGGATTGCGGTGTGACCATCCCCTCTGGAGGGTGATTTCTCGCTTTCTGTCTCTATGTCTCTGTCTGTCTGGTGAGCACACGCGCCCTATAGTGAAAACCTCTGCAAAAAAAAAAAAAAAAAATTACAGGCCTTGGAGTCACTCTAGAACAATTAAACCATAATTTCAGGAAGTGAAATTTCAAAACAAATATTTCAGGTTTTTTTTTTAAGTTCCTTGGGGGATTCTACTTGATTGATAGGGTCAAGAACTCCTGCTTTAGGACAGTGGATTGAAAGATAGAAAAGGACTAATATTTATTAAGTACCTACTCTGTTTGAGATTTTTTTGTTCCAAATATATTATATGATAAATGTAATCTATATACATTGGGATTTTATACATATCTAGTATCTTGACCCAGCCTAATGATTTTGAACCCTGTGTAGTTCTTGGCACAAGGTAGATAGTGTAGGAAGTCCTAAGTTTCCACCCTTCCCTGAAAAGGTTTGATGATTTTATAGTCTATGAAATATACAGACAACTAAGTTTCCATCCTTCCCTGAAAAGGTCTAATAATTTTGTAGTCTATGAAATACACTAATAACCAGATTAATAGAGAAAATATTAATTTTGTTAAAAACACACACAGTGGTACATGGGAATTCAGCAAAAGTTACTCAAAGGAGGACCATGTTGCATAGCATATGGGAAAAAACATAGAAGCTGGGGGTTAAGCTATGAATGAGTGAGGGGAGAAGATGCAAAAGTTATCTTGTTTTTCTGGGACAGGTATAGACCCCTATGCTCCTTCCTATTCTTGTGCCTAGGTACGAAAAAGGTAGCATTAGCAAGCCTGTTAATATCTCCTGCTTACTTTACTTATACAAATAGATGTACATTTATTTTGCAAAAGGTTAAGTTTGCTTAGCTAATTCAATATCATCAGCCCTTACGCACAGTCATCTGAAATAGTATATTTTGGGGAGACATATTTTGGCCTCTCACATTATAATCCCTATTTTACCAAGAAGGAAGCAGAGGCTCAGACCAGTGAAATAACCCATCCAAGATTAAGTTATTAGATGACAGAACCAGATTGAAATATGTCTTTCTTTTTTTTCTGAGATTTTTTGTTATAGGGCACGTGCTCGCTGGAGACACAGAAAGTGAGAAATCACCACCAAACTCCTCCCTGCCCAAGGAATGGCCCCGCCACAATATCCCTTCTCCTCTCGGGATTTGGGGCACATATGCACCCCGAGTTTCAAGGCCATGGGTTTGGGACTCGAACTGTGGTTGACCATATGGGAGTCCAGCGCCTTAACCACTACACCACTTGCTGGCCACAAAACAGTAAGTTTTTCTGGTGCCTCATATCCATGCTCCTTCCACTCCACATCACTGCCAATGAACTAATGTAATCCTCAGAGCAATTTCAAAGTAAGTAGGTATCTTGATCCCCATTTTACATCAATGAAGGAAAAGTAGATCTCTGCTCATGGACTTTCATTCCACAAAAGCAGCAGCAATACATAAGTAATAATTTTGTATAATACAAACACAATGAAGAAAATACAAATAACATGTGATAAACTAAGACACCTTGTTCTCTGTAAACGCTTTGGAAGTTTCCCCACGTGTATAATGCACATGTTAACACCTCACTATGGCTTTGTTAGGAGATTGAGATCCGGTTTCTGTTTATCTCAGCTTATATGCACTACTCTTCCACACAGCAAAAGGGTTCCTGTCAGCTTCACCCTCTTCCCCTATTCCCTCATTATTCCTAAATCTTTCCCTTCTTTAGGCACGTGTTTATCTGGAGTGCCAGCACCAGATCTTCGAAAAATCGCCCCTTCTTAGTTCAAATATCACTTTAACAGTGGAAAATTTCTCTAACTAAAAGTGGCCCTCACACAGTCCCAATGATCCTTTTTTTGTTTCACAGCACTTAGTCACTTTGAGAGACTTTCTTATACACAGAACATCTTCCGTCCACACTAAAATGTAAGCTTCCTGAGAAGCGGGATCTTGGGATGTTGTAGCTTCTAAAATTCGAAACGAATTCTAGAGCAGTGACAGGCCTAAGGGGGTATGACCACACATATTTTGAAATAACTCACAAAAGACGGACTAGACCAGAGAAAGCCGAGCCTCTCACTACGCCAGGCTCCACCCCCGGAAGTCGCTTCCGCTTCCGGCCAAGCCCACAGCCCTCGGAGTTTCTCTGCGCAGGCGCGGGGGGCCGCGGAGCTTTCTGGGAAAGATAAAGATGGACGCTCACGACCTGTTTCGCCGGCTGGGCGCAGGGGCCAAGTTTAACGTGAGACGCTTCTCCGCAGACGCAGCCCGATTCCAGGTACTGAGCACCTAGGGCACCGAGAGCCGAGAGTGAGTAGCAGGAGGCGGAGGATGAACCCGAGAGTAATTGACAAAGAGAGGAGGGCGAGCATGGACCTACAGAACTGCGGGGAGCCGGCGCACACACACCCGGCGGCCTGGCTCCACTCCCTTCAGGGCTTGTTGGCTCCGTTTGAGTTCAGCTACCCGCAGACCTATCCGGTGCAAAGTCTCCTGGACGAATGATTTTCGTATCTTTTTGTAGACTTAGTTGAACCTGGCACAGACACACTCTTTCCTCTGTTTACTCAAAGAAAAGTTGGAATATCCTTTTTTTTTTTTTAAAGGAACTTTTTCTCCGAAACTGGTGGAAAGGAATTTCGAAAACAGAAACCATCAAAACAAAACAAAACAACAAAACAAACAGATGCTTTCATTACAGTCTGGCCACGTTTGGCTTGCCATGCACAGAGCTGTACCCGGCATGGCTCTTTGTATTGCCTTCAGTCCGCCTATTAACTAGCCAATGAGAAGAGAGATTTAGAAATGGGAGTCTTACAGAGGGCTGCAGTGAGTGACCAATTCAGAATCAGTTGGGTCCCAGTCGTGGAAAATTTGAATGTCAGCCTTACCGTTAATTACTAGAGAGTTGTTTATTTATTTGGTGTGTGTGACGTGTGTTTCCTTTTTCTTTGGCAGTATAGTGTAGTAAGAATTTCAATTCTGAAGCCATATTATCTGGGTCTAAATGCTGGGTCTGCCAGTTACTAGTTTTGACACCTTGGTTAAGTGACTTCCTAATGCTTCCATTTTCTATTTACCTTGTAGAGTTGTGAGGATGAAATAATTTAGTATGTATACACATGCTTAGAAATCTACTTGACAGGGACCAGCAGATGGCATAATGGTTATGTTGCTGGACTCCCAAGTAGTCCATCATAGTCCCAGAGGGCAACTTAAAACTCAAGCGGGGCCCATGTGTGTGCGTGTCCAAAATCCCTAGAGGAGACTAGAGGAGAAGGAATTGCTTCGTGGTCATCCCCCTTGGGGTTGATCTATTGCTTTCTGTGTCTCTCCAGCAAGCACATGCTTGCTATAGCAAAAACCTTTCTTAAAAAAAAAAAAAAGGATCGGGACCAGCAGTTAGCATAATGGCTATGTCACTGGACTCCCATGTAGTTGACCGTGGTTAGAGTCCCGGACCTGGTGACTTAAACTCACACCAGGTGCATGTCCCATGCTTGCCCAAGATCCGGAGAGGAGAATGGAGGAGAAGGGATTGGGGTGCGGCCATCCCCCCTGGGGGGAGATATCTTTCTTTCCTCTCTGTCTCTCTGGCGAGTGCACACACCCTATGGCAAAAACCTCTCCAAAAAAAAGAAAAAAGATCTACTTCACATACAGTAAATGTGTGTAAGAGTTGCCATTATGATTTTTGTTGTTTTATTGTGTTTTTTTTTAGAATTACTTATTAAATTTTATTTATTATTATTGTTTCTTAATTTGTTACAGGCATGCATAGTCACCAGAGAGAGACAGAGGGAGAGAGGGAGAAAGTGAGAAAGCAAGCTACCAGTTCAGGGTCAGGGACTGAAACCACCAATAGCCATGTGGGTTTACCCTTAACCACCATTTCACCTGCTTGCCCTGTGATTTTCATTGGCACTGTTATGAGGTCTGAAAAGGTGTCTTCTTGAATTCCATTTGCCCAAACACATTTGTTATTTCAAATATGTGGGGAAAGGGTGGGAAAGATGGGTGTCTTTAGACTTTTGTCCTTACTGTTAATCCTACTTAAGAGCAGTGCTCTTCTGGGGTGTGTGCCTGCATGCCCCAAATTCCAAAAAGATGGAGAAATGGAGGAGAAGGGGTTTTGGTGGCATGACCATGCCCAGTGGGGGCTGCTTTCTCCCTCTTCTTCTGTCTGTGCCTCTTTGGGGAGTACAGGTGCCCTCTGCCAAAAAAAATCAATCAGTCAATCAGTCTCTTTCGTTAGTACATTTTGTTTTGCATTTTGGGTTTTAGGTAGGAAAAAGGAAATATAACTTTGAATCATCGGAGGGGCTGCAGGGATTAGACTTTTTTGGAAACAAGAAATCTGTCCCAGTTGAGAGTGGAGCACCAGGAACACATCAAGAGGTCCAAAATGAAGACGAAAAAGAAGAGCACCTAACTGCAGGGAAGGAGGAGCAGAATAAAAGAAAAAGGAAGAAAAAGAAGATGACTTCAGGTTAGCATTTGATTTCTATTATTTTTTCTCTTTAAATTTTTTCAAGTATAAACTTATGTATATGATAACTGATGAGACTGAGCATCTTTTCATGTTTTTTTAATTACAGATTTATTTATTTATTTATTTATATTAGATGATTTTTTTTTAATTTATTTTCTTCCGTGCATTCAATCACATTATTTGTCTTACAAAGTGGATATTTCAACAGGTGAACATTGCTCCCTAGTACAATTGATAAAACTACAAGATATCTTCAACAGATAATACCACACCTCTATGTGCCATTAATGCTTTGCCTCCCTGCCCTTCCCCCTCATATGCTTTACTGGACATTGTCACCTCTTGTGAATCGTCCTTTGCCTATTTTTACAGGATTTTTTTTTCTGTACTGTATTTTAAGAGTATCAGTTATTTCTTTATCTGCACATCTAGTTAGTTTCCTAATACTCTCTTTTTTTGTAAAGAATTATACAATGATGTAAAGTCTATTTTCTTTTCATTCTTCACCTCCAGTCCCCCTATTTCTATAGGTACAACCACTGTTAATCAATTTCTGTTGTATTTTTCTAAAGGTAATCCTATTGGCATGTCATTTCTGCCTTTCATTAGCGTTAATAGGTATGTTTTTATACCTTATAAACATAGAAACTCTGTACTCTATATATGTTCTGTTGTGAACCTTCTCCCCTTTTTAAACAACAATGTATGTGGAGTTTATTTGGAATCATGGGTTGTGTACTGCCTTACTCATTTTAACACAACATGATATAACCTGTTGTACCTTCCATATTGACTTAAAGACTATCTTAAGTTTCAGTGTAATGGGTATTTAGTTTGTTTCCACACGTTTGTTGTTATAGTGTTACAATAAAGTCATTCTTCTTATCTTTGGGAGTGTGAGTATATCTGGCCAGTAATTCCTTAAAAGTGGAATTGCAGAGTTAACAAATGGATTTATTTCAAGTTTGGATTAGAGTGTTATCCACCAAAAACATTGTTTCCCTTGGTTCACTGTCACACCTCACAGTCTCCCAGCATACATTGTAGGGGTGGTCCAAGCTCTTTGTGATGAACATTTACTTTGTTTCCATATTTTTAACAGTGTTGCAATAAGTTCTTCTCCATCCCTGGCTTCAAGGAAGTTTAATAAACCTTGTGCCAAGATTGGTAAGAAAGACATGCCACAAATTTAAGAAAAAGATTCAGGGACCAGGGTGTGTGTGTATCTGGGCATGCCCAAGATCTCGGAAGGAGAATGGAGAAGGGATTGCAGGGGGCCACCCCTTCTGTGGGGTGAGTTCTCACTTTCCCTTTCTTTCCCTCTCTTGTCTCTGGTGAGTGCAAGTGCCCAATAGAGAAACTTAAAAAAGAAAGAAAATAATTCAAGTATTAGGCAACAAGATATATACAGATATGTTCTGTAATCATTTACCAACAAAAGTGTATGGGCCATAGATCTATATGTATAGACATATCTATTTTTAATTGGAAATTTTAAGATCTTATGAAATAATAATGATTTGTGTCCGAAATTACATGAAGGGAAAAATTTTTTTTTTTTAAAGAGAGATTTTTGCTATAGGGCACGTGTGCTCGACAGAGAGACAGAAAGTGAGAAATCACCCACTGGGGAGATGGCCACGTTGCAATCCCTTTTCCTCTGTTCCGAGGGGATCTTGAGCATGTACATGCACCTGGCATGAGTTTCAAACAACCAGATCCAGGACTTGAACCATAGTCAACTATGTGGGAGTCCAGTGACATAGCCATTATGCCATCTGCTGGTCCCAAGGGAGAATAATTTTTAAAAGTCAGTCTACTTTGTGATGCCCACCAGCAATTATGAGAATTATTTTTTCTGTAAATGTCTCCTTATGTATTTTGTATTAGATTATTCATCTATTTCTTTTTTTCTTTAAATTTATTTATTTCCCATCCAGAATACACTGTATATTGGCTCAGTCAAGCACACCAACCTACGTGTTATTGTCAACAAATAATTTTCCATTTCTTGTTTCCTGTATATTTTGTTATTTTTGCCATCCTTGATTCCCTCTCTCTCCCCCTGGGCCATGTCTCACTCTCCTCCCACACTGTCTCTGGTATCCATGGTTGCTTTCTATGCCTTTTCCCCCCATTTCATTTATTTGCTAATGAACTTAATCTAAATACTTCCAATAGCAAGCGCAGCTGATGTATACATATCCATGAACACAAGTCTGACTTTAGGCATAAACCTCAGTGAGTAGAATGAACATACTATAAAGTAGCGCCTGGCTGGGACTATGTAGCTTACTGCAGTCATCAAATACATATATATTTTTTTTATTTCAAGAAAAATAGTTTTTGTGTTTTATTTTCTCCTGAAACTTTTTTAAAATTAATTAATTTACATTCATCCCCTAATCATCATCACAGCATACAAAAAGTGGTTTCCCATCCACAATATACTGCATAGTGGCTTAATCATGTATGTTATCATCAATAATTTTTCATTTCTAGTTTCACATTTATTTATTTTATTATTTATATATTTACCCCTGTGTCTGACCCTCTACCCTTTTCCACCCTCTTCTCACACTATCTCTGGTGTCTACAGTTGTCTTTCATTCCTTTTCCCCCCACATTTTATTGATTACACAATTTCTTAAATAATCTAACTACATTCAATTGCAAGTTCAGCTGGTAATTTCAAGAAAAGCAGTTTTGAATTGATAAGGAAATTTGCTTAAAATTTAAAGCCTGGAAACAGGTTAGTATTCTGTTAAAATAGTAGGTACATGAACTTATTGACAGCTCAAGACAGGACAAAAACTCTTAAAACTGGACAACAAAGCCTAGAAGAAAAGCAGCAATATTTTAGTCAAAAGTCACAGAATGCTTTCTTTTTAAGAAGTGATTTGTTAAGCTAATCACTGGGCAAATGCTTTGTAACTAAGCCTCCATGAAAACCCCAAAGGATAGGATTTGCAGAGTTTCTATGTAGCTGAATATATGGCGGTTCCTGGGTGGAGGTACATCCAGCCAGGGCATAGAGCTAGCTCCTCGCACATGCCTTGCTCTGTCCATTTCTTCATCTATATCCTTTGTAATACCATTTATCCTAAACTGGTAAATGTGTTTCTCTGAATTTTGTGAGCCATTCTAGCAAGTTATTCAAACTCAAGAAGGGGAGTGTTTCATTAGAATTCCAATTTATGACCAGTGGTCAGAAACAGAACAACCTGGGGGTTTTTGGTGGGCATCTGAATGGGGTTGGGAGGTGCACAGTCTTGGGGACTGCGCCTTAACCAAAGGACTCTGACCCTTATCTCCAGATTGATAGTTAGGAGGACACCCAGCTGATGTCCACTGAAGAACTGATTGCTTATTTGGTGTGTTGGGGGGAAAAGTCACATATTTGGTCATATAAGTCTTCTGTCTTCATTGTTGTCTGAGGGTAAAGGAGAAATTGAATGGCTTATTTACTATGCTCTCGGGAGTGAATAGGGACATAACATTTTTTTTTCCCAAATGGTTAACTAATTGTCCTAATGTGGTATGTTGATAATCCATCTTTTCTCTATTGGATTTAAATGTAACACTTATTGTAAACATTTTTCATTTTTCATGTGTGTGTGTGTGTGTGTGTGTGTGTGTGTGTATATATATATATATATATATATATATATATATTCATTTCTGTCTCTGGGCTATGTTGTATTGCATTGATGTGTATTTCTGCATTCACACTGTTGAAAGGCAAAGTTTAGACAGATTTTTATTTAGCAGAGTTTAATTGCTCAAGAAATGATTCACATATCAGACAGCCCCCAGAAGCAGTTCTGAAGAATTTTAGGGCCACCACCTCATCAGGTAACATTTATGGATTAAAAAAAGGAAAGTGACTTATAGAAAAGGAAAGTGAGGGAGAGAATCAGTGGATTGGTTGCAGCTGTACTCCCACATAGTCAACCAAGGTTCAAGTCCCAGACCTGGTGGCTTAAAACTCATTCCAGGGACCAGCAGTTAGCGTAATGGCTATGTCTCTGGACTCCCATGTAGTTGACTGAGATCTGAGTCCCGGACCTGGCAACTTAAACTCACGCTGGGTGCATGTGTGTGCATGCCTAAGATCCCGAAAAGAGAATGGAGAAGGGATTGTGGCGTTGCCATCCCCTCTGGGGGAGTGATTTTTCACTTTCTGTCTCTCTGTCTCTTGCTGTCTTTCTGGCGAGCACACACGCCCTATAGCAAAAACCTCAAAAAAAAAAGAAGAAGAAGAAGAAAAAACCAAAACCCAAAAAACCCCAAACTCATTCCAGGTTCGTGTGCTTGTGTGCCACAAAATCCTGAGAGGAGAATGGAGGAGAAGGAATTGTAGTATGGCCATCACCCTTGGGGGGGGGGGATTTTTGCTTTTTTTTCTCTCTCATCTCTCCAGTAAGTGCACACACCCTATAACAAAAATCTCTCTTAAAAAACAAACAAGCAAACAAATAAGAAAGCAAGCTATAGACAGAAAAAACATATTGGCAACATGTATGTCACAGAACTTATATCCACTCACCAAAGAAGACATATGAGCACATAAAAGATACCAATATCATTAGTCATTAGGCAAATTCAAACCACAATGCAATATTACTATATGCCCATTAGGATGGCTAAAAATAAAAAGACTGACAGTACTTTATTTGTAATAGACAAAAACTAGAAATAATCCAAATGTCCTTCACGAGGTGAAAGATAAATTGTATGTCCACATAACAGAATATTGCCTAGTAATTAAATATTAAGAAGTTAATGGGACCAGCAGATGGCATAATGGTTACATCGCTGGACTCCCTCATAGTTGTCTGAAATTCAAGTCCCAGACCTCATGCTGGGCGTGTGTGTGTGTGTGTGTGTGTGTGTGCGCGTGCGTGCGTGCCCCAGATTCTGAGAGGAGAATGGAGGAGAAGGAATTGTGATGTGGCCCTGTCCCCGGGGGCGATTACTTGCTTTCTATCTCTGTCTCTCTGGCGTGCATACATGCTCTATAGCAAAAAATCTCTCTCTGAAAAACAAAAAGTTACTGATACATACTATGACAAAAAGGAATCTCAACCATCCTGAGTAAGAAAAGCCAGACTAAAATTAGTCCATACTACACAATTCCATTTTTATAAAATTTCAGAAAAGGCAAACTAATCTATAGTGACAGAAATTAGATTGGTATTTGCCTAGTGATAGAGCAGTGGTTTACAAGGAACTGTGATGACATTTGGGGAGGTGATAGAAATAACTTTGAATATGGTGTTGGTTTAGTGAGTTTATAGAGACGTAAAAACTCATCAGATTGGGCCCAGCAGATGACATAATGGTTATGTCATTAGACTCCTGGATGGCCCATTGCAGTTCAAGTCCTAGACTTAGAGGCTTGAAACTCATGCTGGGTGCGTGTGCGCATGTGCCCAAAATCCAGAGAGGAGACTAGAGGAGAAGGGATTGCAGTGTGGCCATCCCCCCGGAGGAAGTGATTTCTTGATTTCTGTCTGTCTGTCTCTCTTTCGAGTATATGTGACCTATAGCAAAAATCTCAAAGAAAAAAAAAGTCAAATTATGTACTTTGAATATATGTGGTTTATTGTATATTAACTGTGTCTCAGTGAAGTTGAAAAATACCAGTAGAAGTAGTCTGTGCTTGTTAGTCAGAATTTTTTTAGGTTATTATATACATATACACACACACATTTTTTTTAGGCTTTTACCATAAGGCATATGTGCTTGCTGAAGAGACAGAGAAAGAGAGAGAGAAAGAGGGAAAATGAGAAATCACCCCCTGGGGGGGATGGCCATGCCGCAGTTCCTTCTCCATTTTCCTCCTGGTATGACATGTACACATCTGACATGATTTTCAAGCCACCAGGTCTGGGACACAAACTGTGGTCGGCCAATGTGAGAGTCCATTTATTTCTTCCATGAGAGTGACAGACAGACAGGAACCACTAATGGGTCCTCATACCACGGTCCACTCCCAGCCTTAGCTAGCCGTGATCACAGGAGTACACATGCCCCGGTGTGCATAGGGTGGCCTCAGGATGCATACCTAAGACCTTCCCATGTGGGTCGCAGAGCATCACATTACCACTGTGCCACTGGCTGGCCCAGGTTATTTTTACCTATTTACTTGCCCATATAAACTTTAAAGTCAGCTAGTATACTCAACAAAACTATTCTGTCATTACTGTCGATTGAACTAGTTTTATTTATATATTTTGAGAGAGCTACTATCTTTATAATATCGAGTAACCCCAAGTATTCCGTCCATTGTTAAGTAATATCTTTGTGCATTGTGCTATTGTAAATGAAATCTGCCATCGTGTATATTTTCTAACTGGTTATTGTTTGGTTATAGAGAAGCTGGCTGCCTTATTGAAATCTTTTACTGTTAAAGTAGTTTTTGAGTCAGTTCCTTGTTGTCTTCAAGTATACAATCTTACCTGTTTATTATGTAGCTGAAACAACCAATGAGGAGGGAATGAGCCTAAGAGCTCTGATTATAGCAAACACAGAGCTTGCCTGCACATTTCTTATTTTATACGTTCTACTATTTCTTTCTGTTACCTAGTTTCATTGGGTAGTACTTTCTCTTTTGTTTAGCATGAAGGAGTAACCCATTTGCTATACCAAGACCATCGCCCTTAACATTTTTTACTTTTTTATAATGCACTTTAGAAGTTACTGTTGGTGAAGAAGGCACTACTATACAGTGGATGCCATCTGTGGAAGCAAAGATTGAAGATAAAAAAGTTAAAGGAGAACATAAACTGACCTCAGGAAAGTTGGAACATCTCAGACAGGAAAAGATAAACTTCATCCGGAATAAACACAAAATTCATGTCCAAGGAACTGATCTTCCCGACCCAATTGCTACGTTTCAACAACTTGATCAGGAATATAAAATCAATTCTCGACTGCTTCAGAACATTCTAGATGCAGGTTTCCAGTTATGCTACATGGTCGAGAACTCCTGGCTTCTGCTCCTACTGGATCTGGAAAAACTTTGGCTTTTAGCATTCCTATTTTAATGCAGCTGAAACAACCTGCAAACAAAGTTTGCAGAGCCCTGATTATATCACCAACACAAGAACTTGCTAGCCACATTCACTGGGAGTTAATAAAAATCTCTGACGGAATAGGATTCAGAATACACATGATCCATAAAGCAGCAGTAGTAGCCAAGAAATTTGGACCTAAATCATCTAAGAAGTTTGATATTCTTGTGACGACTCCAAGTCGACTAATCTATTTATTAAAGCAGGATCCACCAGGAATAGACTTAACGAGTGTTGAGTGGCTGGTGGTAGATGAGTCAGACAAACTGTTTGAAGATGGCAAAACTGGCTTCAGAGACCAGCTGGCTTCCATTTTCCTAGCCTAAAGAAAAAGAAACATGCCAGGTACATGGGCGTGTGTGCCCAAAATCTCAACAGGATGGAGAAATAGAAGTGAAGGGATTGCAGCATGACCATTAACCATGGGAGGGTGCTTTCTCCCTCTCCTCAGTCTCATGCACGCACATGCCCTCTGACAAAGTTAGAAATAAATACAAGTTTAAAGTTAAAATTTAAAACACAAGTATAGTATACAAATATATATATTTGGTTCCCTTTCAGAGGATTCCTTTTTATTTTTTTAGAGAGAGAGATTTTTGCTGTAGGGTGCGTATGCTCACCACAGAGACAGAGATAGACAGAAAGTGAGAAATCCTCTCCCAGGGGAAATTGCCATGTCACAATCCCTTCTCCATTCTCCTCTTGGGATTTTGGGTATTCATGCACATGTGCCCCGGCATGAGATTTAAGCTGCTGGGTCCAGGACTCAAAACTGCAGCCGACTACTGGGAATCCAGTGACTTAAGCATTAAGACATCTGCTGGTCCCAGTGAGAAAGTAAGCTGTCATGTCCGGGACTCAAACAACAGTCAGTCATGTGGGAGTCTAGCCCCTTAACTGCAATTCTACCTGCTGGCCAGAGGATTTTTTTTGGAGAGGTTTTTGCTATAGGGCGTGTGCGCTCGCCAGACAGACAGAGACAGAGAGACAGAAAGTGAGAAATCACCCCCCAGGGGGGATGGCTACACCACAATCCCTTCTCCTCCATTCTCCTCTTGGGATCTTGGGCACGCAGGCACACACGCCCGGCATGAGTTTTAAGCCACTGGGTCCGGGACGCAAACCACGATCGACTACATGGAAGTCCAGTGACATAGCCGTTACGCTAACTGCTGGTCCCATGGCCAGAGGATTTTTAAGAAACTAATAATTTGGGAATAGGGAAGTAAGATATAGAAAAACCAACAAACATCTTTTGGTGTCTACTGTACACTTACCACGTTGGTTATAGAGAGTTGTGTTCATCTCACTTCAAGGATTACTGTGGCAATGATTCAGTAACCTAGAGACAAGAATTTGGCTGTCTCTCAACCGGAGAATGGATAAACTAGTAAATCAACACCACTAGATTCTACTTTTGGCACTGTTTGTTTAGAAATGTTTGCTTTATGGGTGTGTGCTCACCGAAGAGACCGAGACAGAGAGACAGAATGTGAGAAATCACACCCTGGGGGCATGACCACGCTATAGTAGTTTCTCCTCTATTCTTCTCTCAGGATTTTTGGGTACATATGCACAAGCACTTGGCATGAGTTTGAAGCCTCAGGGTCTGGGACTCAAACCTCATTCAACTACGTGGGAGTCCAGCGATATAACCATTACACCATCTGCTGGTCGTGGCACTCAGTTTTAGTAAGGAGAGTTTTGGGGTAAATTTAGCACTCATAGGCTAAGCACCATATAAAGAAAGTAGGTAGATTCAAATTAATGTAAGATATTTTTATGACTATGGCAGTAACACATTAATATGAATCTCATTACTCATGGCCATGACAAAGTAATATGAAGAGAGCAGAGATAAATTTTATTGTTATAAAGGTCTTCTGACTGTAAAAGGGCATGAAACATGCCCAATGTTTGTGATGTTTGGGGACTTAAATTTAACCAAAAAGTTTCATATGCTGCTAAAGGTCTTTGAAGAAACTGTTACTGCTGCTCTATGACATTTGTGAAGGTATTTATGTGGCCATATCCACGTTGGCCCCTTTGCTTCACTTTTCAGATAAACTTCATCCGGAATAAGCACAAAATTCATGTCCAAGGAACTGATCTTCCCGACCCAATTGCTACCTTTCAACAACTTGATCAGGAATATAAAATCAATTCTCGACTGCTTCAGAACATTCTAGATGCAGGTTTCCAAATGCCGACGCCCATCCAAATGCAGGCCATTCCAGTTATGCTACATGTGAGTGTGAAAGTCTAGAATACCTGCAACATTCCGTCCCTCGTGTGTTTGCTCTCTCTCACCTTGAAATCCTTTCTACCTTACCTCCCTTGTTCAAAGCCTTCACTTGCTTTTAAGGCCCATATCAATGTCTGTGCCTCATTAAACTTTGTTTTTTAAAAATTTCAAATAAATTATTTAATTTTTAAAACTTTGAAAATTTTTTAATTAATTAATTTTAAAATTTGCTATAGGGTATGTACCCTCGCTGGAGACAGAGACAGTGAGAAAGTAAGAAAGTACCTCTATGGGAAGCAGTCCTACTGTAGTCCCTTCTTTTCCTTTTCTCCTTTCGAGCTTTTGGGCATTCATGCACGTGCAGCCTGTGTATTTTTGAAGCTCCCAGGTCCAGGACTCAGACTGCATTTGGCCTTGTGGGATCTAGCCACCTTAGCCACCATGCTACTCGCTGGCCTCATGAAACTGCTTGATCACTACAAGATGAGATCCTTCTCTTTTGCTAGCATCTTTCTCTCTTTCCCCCAATTCTCTATGGTATTTAATGTGTGCTTTTTCTTGCAACATTTATATTTATACTACTATTTGTGCCAATTATGTTTATCTTTTCCATTTTACTAGAGTATAAATTTTCCGAGGATAGGGATTATGTTCTATTCATTCATTGCTGATTTAGTTTATAATGTCCAGAACTATTCAGAAATGCAAATGCTTTCTTAAAATTTTTGTGTGTAATCTGACTTAGTTATTTTCAATACTTTCTTATTATTGAAGTATGCTTTACATACAATAAGATGCATAGATTTTTTTTTGAGAGAGATTTTTGCTATAGGGCACATGATCTCACTAGAGAGACAGAGAGACAGAAAGCGAGAGATCACCCCCTAGGGGGAATGGCCATACCACAATCCCTTCTCCATTCTCTTTTTGGGATCTTGGGAACGCATGCATATGTGCCCAGTGTGAGTTTTAAGCTGCCAAATCTAAGACTTAAATTGTGATGAACTACGTGGAAGTCCAGCAACGTAACCATTACATTATCTGCTGGTCCCAATGCATAGATTTTTGAATGTACAATTGAGCAATTTCCAACAGTGCTCACCCTACATAACCACCCTTCTAGTGAAGTTAAAGAACATATCTGTTACCCCGGAAAATTCTCTTGTGCCCTTTCCATTCAGTCATCACCCCACCTTTGCCCAGAGACAACCATTATTTTAATTTCTATGGCTATATATTCATTTTGTCTCTTCTAGAATTTCATATAAGTGGAATTGTACATTATTTCATCTTTTATTTCTGACTTCTTTCACTTTGTACAATTCCTTTTTAAAAGAATAATTTAATTATATTTGTTATTATTACCTTTTTAAAATTTGACCAGAGAAAGGGAAAGCGAGAAAGCAAGCCTCCGGGTCTGGGTCTCAAACTGTGGTAGTCCAGCACTTTAACCACTATGCCACCTGCCGGCCCCACTTTGCATGATGCTTTTGAGATTCATCCATATTACCTACTTTAGTAGTTAGTTACTATAAGTACTATACTATTGCATAGCTCAGTTTGTTTATCCAGTTACTTGTTGATAGAGATATGGATTAATTCAGGTTTTAGGAAACTAAATTTTCCTGAAGGTAATTTTTTTCAATGACAGCTGACTTTTTCCTCCCATATATCTAAGATGGCTTTCAGTTCTGGAAGCCAAAGGATATGAGTTACCTTTTCATCCATATAATCCTTTTCAGTTCTTTTGAAAACTGAAATAAAATATTTATGCATTTTAATGGTGTCATTGACATGCATCTTAGTAAGTTTGCTTTTTAAAAAAAAAATTTAGAGAGTGTTTTTTCCTACAGAGTGTGTATAGTCACTGGAGAAACAGACAGAAAGTGAGAAATCACCTCCCGGGGAATAGCCACGCAATAGTCCCTTCTCCATTCTCTTGGGATTTGGGGGATGCATGCACATGCATCTGACATGAGTTTCAAGCCACCAGGTCCAGGACTCAAACCATAGTGGGCCATATAGAAGTCTAGTGATGTAATAACCACTACTCCATCTGCTTGTCCCAGTAAATTTGCTTTTAATTTTTCTTTAATATTGTTCCTGTCATAACTTTAACTTAAAGCTTTAACAAAATCATGGTGAGGGACCAGCAGTTAGCATAATGGCTATGTCGCTTGACTCCCATGTAGTCGACCACGGTTCGCGTCCCGGACCCGGTGGCTTAAGACTCACGGCGGGGGCAAGGGTGTGGCTGTGCACGATCCCGGGAGGAGAATGGAGGAGAAGGGATTGCAGCGTGGCCATCCGTGAGTTCTCACTTTCTGTCTCTGTCTGGCGAGCACATGCGCCCTATAGCAAAAACCTCTCCAAAAAAAAAAAATCATGGTGACTTTTTGAAGATAAATCAATTACCATATCACCTATAAATTACTTTATAACTCAGGTCATGGCCGCTTTTTATTTCTTATCTCTAGTTATTCTGTTAGCTGATAAAACTTTCCATAGGGATTAAGTAATACAGATACCTGGCCAAAAATTTTGTGTTCTAATTTTGCTTTGATAAAAGTGTAGTGGGAAAGAAATATTGAAATAATGGATATAGTAGAGATTGTTAATTATCTTTGAATTTTAGTTTATCCATGTTCTTTATCCATTCAAATGGAATTCAGGGACAATGTTCAAAAACACCCATGTGGTAGTAGCATGGATGAATGATTTTAGAAAAGCAGATAGAATTGATTCTGTCTGCTTCATTATATATAATTTTATTTGTTATTTCTATGGCTGGTAACATTCTTTGATCAGGCTATGAAATATGTATGTATGTTTCCTTGTAATTAGCTATACTCTTGTGTGTTTAGGGTCGAGAACTCCTGGCTTCTGCTCCTACTGGATCTGGAAAAACTTTGGCTTTTAGCATTCCTATTTTAATGCAGCTGAAACAACCTGCAAACAAAGGCTTCAGAGCCCTGATTATATCACCAACACGAGAACTTGCTAGCCAGGTATGCATGGAAAAGATACACTTGGTGTTCATTTCAGTGATCTTTTTTATTTGAGGGTAATAAAAAGGGCTCAGGCCTAGCTGTAGTAGCATATACTGGTTGATGCTGCCACTTGGCAGGCTGAGGCCCTATGAGAGTCCTGGATTTAATTACTGGAAGGTGTAGTAGCATGTGTCCCAGTGGTTTGGGAGGCTGCAACAGGAGTATTGCAACATAGCCAGACCCTGTCTTAAAAAAAAAAAAAAAAAAGAGGGAACCAGCAGTTAGCGTGATGGCTATGTCGCTGGACTCCCATGTAGTCGACCGTGGTTCGTGTCCCGGACCCGGTGGCTTAACACTCACGCCGGGCGCGTGTGCGTGCGTGCCCAAGATCCCGAGAGGAGAATGGAGGAGAAGGGATTGCAGCGTGACCATCCCCCCTGGGGGGTGATTTCTCACTTTCTGTCTCTATGTCTCTCTCTGTCTGTTTGGCGAGCGCACGCGCCCTACAGTGAAAATCTCTCAAAAAAAAAAAAAGAAAAGAAAAAAAAAAGAAAGAAAATATCAAGCCTATGTCTTCTATCATGGGCAAGTATTTTCTACTGTTCTTTTACTGCACATGGCCAGTTTTTTTTTTTTTTTTTTTAAAGAGAGATTTTTGGTGGAGGGTGCATGAACTCACTAGAAGGATAGAGATAAGAGAGAGACAAAAAGCAAGAAATTACCCATTAAGGGAGATGGCAATGCTGCAATCCCTTCTTCATTCTCCTATTGTGATTTTGGGCATGCACGCACATGCACCTGGCATGAGATTTTTTTTTATGGGGGTGGGGAGGTGTAGAGATTTTTGCTCTAGGGTGCAAGTGCTCACCAGAGAGACAGAAATCAAATCATCCCCTGGAGGATGGCCATGCTACAATCCCTTCTCTAGGCTTCTCTCAGCATCCTGGGCACACACGCACATGTGCCCGAAATGCCTTTGAATTGCTAGGCCCGGGACTCGAACTGCAATGTAATCATTTAGCCATCTGTTAGTCCCCACCAGTGTGTGTTTTAAGATGTTGGGTCTAGGACTTGAACCACTGTCCACTATGTAGGAGTTGAACGATGTAACCGTTATACCATCTGCTGGTCCCCATTGCCAGCTTTTTAAGTCTTTGTGTAATTTTCTAAAACAATGATTTTAACATTTATCTTTTAGTCAATGCCCTAAGATACTTGAAGTTTAAAGGCTACTATTATTTTTGTCTCTTTCTAATGTGCACTTTTCTCATCTAAAAAGTAAACATCTAAGTTTTTGAGAAAGTAAAACTGTACAGTGATCTCCACCCACCCAAAGAGATTAGTGTAAAATACATGCCAAGTATGAAATAGCCTTATTATATAGTACTGTATTCTAAAACCAGTATTTGATAGATTGGAAAGGTGTTGGTTTTATCTCTTAAAACTAGTTTATTTAAACTGAAGAAGCTGTTGAATCTCATTAGGCATTGAAGGTCTAAAATACTGAGATTCTAGGATAATCCACAGATTATTATAGGCTTAATTCCTTATAGAACATATTTATTAATAATATAAAAGAGACTCTACATCTTGCCCTAGCACCTTAGCAGCTGACGTTTTTCTCATTTTGTTTTAGATTCACCGGGAGTTAATAAAAATCTCTGAGGGAACAGGATTCAGGATACACATGATCCATAAAGCAGCAGTAGCAGCCAAGAAATTTGGACCTAAATCATCTAAGAAGTTTGGTAAGAAACTTACAGATGTATGTAGAACACATGAGGGATTTGGAAATTACAGATGTCTTCATTCCCATGTGAGAATCATTAAAGTATATGTATAATTAATTTGATTTTTAGAGAAATTAAAGAGACACCCTCCTCATTGCACCCAGTAGCTATATAAATATACCAGTGGTTCTCAACTAGGGGTGATTTTTGTCCCCTACTCTTCACCACAGGGACATGTGGCGGTACCTGGAGACATTTTTAGTTGCCACAGCTGGTGAATAATGCTACTAGCCTATGCTGGGTAGAGACCAGTGATGCTCTTAAACATGCTGCAATACACAAAACAGATCCTTACAAAATAGAGTTATCTGGCCCCAGATGTCAACAGGGCTGATGTTGAGAAACCCTGCTTTATACCACTGGTTTTATTCTGTCATGGAAATGGCTCTGGCAGGTAAGGATGGCTTACATCTCTACCCTTATATCTACTTTCATTTGTTTCTTTGATCTTGAGCTTCTGAGTAATTTCATTTTTTTTTTTTTTTTGGAGAAGTTTTTGCTTTAGGGCCTGTGTGCTCGCCAGACAGACAGAGACAGAGAGACAGGAAGCGAGAAATCACCCCCCAGGGGGATGGCCACGGTGCAATCCCTTCTCCTCCATTCTCTTCTCAAGATCTTGGGCATGCACGCATAAGGTCCCGGCGTGAATTTAAACCGCCGGGTCCGGGACTCGAACCATGGTCGACTACGTGGGAGTCCAGCGACATAGCCATTATGCTAACTGCTGGTCCCTAAAATTTCATTTTTTAAAGATTTTCCTGGAAAGATAAAATTTTGAAACTCATAAATTATAATATTCTTGCCTCTTAGAATTTGAGCAGGCCACTCAAATCTTAATAAAAGGAGAGTAGGGATATATTGGATGGTGCTATCATGAGTTTAAAAAAAATGTATATTGACTTACTAATAAGGAAAATCTTTTGGTTTTGGCTAGTGAATATAACTACTTCCTTCCCTCCTCACTTCAGGTTATTAACTGAAATTCGGGAGGCTTAATTCCCTAGTTCAAGAGGAATGAATCTTTTTTATGCAATTTCTGCCATTTGTTTTTTTCTATAGATATTCTTGTGACGACTCCAAATCGACTAATCTATTTATTAAAGCAGGATCCACCAGGAATAGACTTAACGAGGTACAGATAACACTTTAATGTCTTTTATGTTTATTTTTTATTTAGTTGATTACATTTTTATACTCAATTGCTTAAAGTTTTAAAAAATTTTATTTAACTTTGTTCATTATTAGTAGTATTTTCCAATTTGACTATATAGAGAAGAAAAGTGAGAATGCAAACTGCCAGGTCCAGGACTTGAACTGTAGTCAGCCATGTGGGAGTCCAGTGCCTTTAACCACCGTGCCACCTACCTCAGTGCTTGTATTTTTACCCTTCAGTAGCTTACTGTCTACCAACTTCAGTCAGTGTTGGTATAGAGAGTAATGGTTTCATTAAACTTGTAGAAAATGTAACTATCTGGTCAGGAAACATTATAGATTCTGATAAACAGTTAGTATAGAATTCCCCTTGACCTTTTAATATCTTTCAGCTATGGATGGATTTCATGACATTTATGTGAAATATTGTTGCTAATGGAAACTCCTATCGTTCAGGTTAATAGAATAGCTATATTGAGGGGCCAGCAGGTGGTGTGGTACTTATGGAAGTGGATTCTCACATGGACAACCACAATTTGAGTCCTGTACCTGGCAGCTTGAAAATGACATGCACTGGGCACATGTGTTTGTACCCAAAATCTGGAGGGGAGAACGGAGGAAGAGGGATTGAAGTGTGGGCTTCCCCCCGGGGTGGGTGATTTTTTTACTTTACCTCTCTGACAAGTGTATACTCCCTATGGCAAAAAAAAAAAAAAAAAAAAAGAATAGGTACATTGAGTTATGCTTATCTTATTTTAGTCTTTTTTCTGCATATTCCCCCCCCTGCTTTTTTTTCCCTTTTTTGATATGATAAAGTGGATCTGACAAGCAGCAGCATCACTTGACTTCCTGATATATCCCCACAGTTTAGGGAAGTGTCTTAAAAATTTTTGCTATTCAGCATCCATAGGTTGTTTTGTTGTTTCTTAGTGTTGAGTGGCTGGTGGTAGATGAGTCAGACAAACTGTTTGAAGATGGCAAAACTGGCTTCAGAGACCAACTGGCTTCCATTTTCCTGGCCTGCACATCCCACAAGGTGCTTCCATTTTCCTAGCCTGCACATCCCACAAGGTCAGAAGAGCTATGTTCAGTGCAACTTTTGCATATGATGTTGAACAGTGGTGCAAGCTCAACCTGGACAATGTCATTACTGTATCCATTGGAGCAAGGTAATTATTCTTTTACACTATCACACCGATTTTTCTTTTTATTGCTTTTAATAATAGTCACTACTTTTAGACTCTAGAAGACAGTTTATTTGGCTGAGACTAATAAGGGAGAGTTTTACTCATAAAAAACTTACTTTTTAAAGTTAGAATGAAGGGTTTTTTTTGTTTGTTTGTTTGTTTTTTTGAGAGGTTTTTGCTATAGGGCGCGTGCGCTCGCCAGACAGACAGAGAGAGACAGACAGAAAGCGAGAAATCACCCCCCAGGGGGGATGGTCACGCCGCAATCCCTTCTCCTCTCGGGATCTTGGGCACGCACGCACACATGCCCGGCGTGAGTTTTAAGCCACCGGGTCCAGGACACGAACTGCAGTCGACTACGTGGGAGTCCAGCAACATAGCCATTACACTAACTGCTGGTCCCAAGGGTTTTCTATTTTAGAATAATTCAAAGAAAGGGACTCATATTATCATATTAATATTCCTACCATTGTGTTCTTAGGAAATTTTTTCTATCCACAGAGTATGACATCAAGTCTGTGGCTACCCTAGAGGATTTAGTTTCTGTTATCGCTGAAGTATTGATGTATAATTCCTTTTTAAAAATATTTTTGTGATCAGCCAGTGGCATGGTGATTAAGATGGCCAGATCCCACATGGCTGACTTCATTAAGTTCTGGATGGCAGCTTGAAAAACAATGTTGGGTGCGTGTGCATGCATATCTAGAATTCTAAGAGAAGAACAAAAGAGAAGGAATTGTAATGTGGCTGTCCCCTCTGAGGTTGAATTTCTTACCATCTCCCACCCACCCCCATCTCCCCGACCCCCCGGAAACACACATTCTCCATAATAAATTTTTTTTTAAAGTTTTTTAAAAATTGGGGGGGGGCACATTTTATATTAAGTAAATGCCCAATGGTTGAAAAAAGTTCAAGGCAGGACTGGCAGGTGGCATGGTGGTTAAAGGTGCTGGATTCCCACATGGCTGA